ACGTGTTTTGATGCTGGAGCTACAGTGATCGCCTTGGACGTGCACTGTGCTGTTTTCACAGGGCAGCCATGCAGAGCCTCAGTGGTGAACTGCTGGAGTTTGGGAGGTGGAGTATGTTTGCATGGTTCAGAAACAGAGGAGCTGTTGGTCTGGATGCAACTTAGCTTGATTTCTTCTCTGGCTGTTTGAAAGTTAGGCATCAAAGCAGCTTGTTTATGTCAAATATTTTCTGCAACTGTAACACAGCAGAGTTAGATCCATTGTTCCCTGTACATCAAGAATGGAGGCTCTGTTGCTACCCTGATGGTAATTTAAAAATGTTCTTATTGAATAAAAAACACCAGGCAGACTGCAGGATTTGCCTCATTCCATCTCAAAGATAACTGGGCATCTGCTTAAATTCATGCTTCTCTTCAGGGGCTACTGACTTACCAGAGTCCTTCTATCGAGAAGTTTGCTTTGAACACCTGCCTAGCATATCTACCATCAGACTGTCCTGCACTTTGGGGCTTTGAGTCTAGGTTTCTTTTCATGGCTGCTCATGCTACCTCATAAATCCCCATGCTGAAAGAAACCATCTTAGATCAAGAGCTTGGGCTTGATTAGGAGGGTGGTATGTGTCCCGTACTTCCTTGGGGGGGGGCATGCAGTTTTACAGGGACCACAAATAGAATAGCTGTTGGAGTAATTGGTTACTGCCCCATGCTTTGTTCTCCCTGGGGGATCTGCAGCTAAGCTGGGGGATGCAAAGGAGATTCTTGCACTTTCCTATTTCAGACCTCTTCTACCTCTCTCTTTGTGCCCCTCCCCAGGTTTCTTGCTCTTGGAGTCTGCTTTATATCCCTCTAAGGGAGTAGCCACATATTTTTCCCAAGGACCCCAGAATAAAAGAACAGGAATTGCAGAATTGTAGGGTTGAAAACGACCTCTGGAGATCCCCTAGTCCAAAATGTCCTTTTTCTTTGTCTGAATGCTTATTCGCAGAAAGAATGAAGGTGTTTGCCAAGGTCTGCAAGCAGCAGGGCTGCAGACTCTGGAGGTCCCTGGTTTGCCTCTACAGGATTTTATTGTAAGGAGACTTCAGCTCCCTCCCTGGGAACGTGCATCACAGTGGAAATGCTTTTTGAGGGCTGAAAATCGGAGGTTTGAAACCTCCAGTCTGAGGTTTCTAAATTGCTCCTGGATGAGTGTGGTGGCCTGAGGGCTCAACACCTGCAGGCAAGGAAGTGCTGGAACCAGCCCAGGAGAAGAAGTGGCATGCAGAGCTGGCAGGAAAGAGGGGGCTGCTCACAGGGAGACCCTCACTGGTTTGTAAGCTCTGACAAGGATACTGCTTTGATGTGCTTTTTGTTCCTACACAGCTCTCAGCCCAGTAAAACTCAAGCTACTGGCCCAGCACAGGGCATGGCACTGCTGCCTTGGTATATACTGTTTTCCCACCGAAGTTACACTTTCTGCTTTAGGGACCCTGAGCAAGTTACTGTCTTTCCTATGGATTCACTGAACTGTGAAGTGTCATATTCTGACAAGCATCACTGCCTTGCTGTGTCGCTGGAGAGAAAAGTCTGAGTGATGCTCTGGTACGGAGTGAGCCAGATGGGTGGAAGCAGGCCTGCCCAGTGAGCTGTAGGAGCCCAGGACAATGTGGCACGTTGTATATCAGTGAATATGTAAATATGCTCATCTGCCCACCACGTGTGGGAAGTTGTACAAATATGAGCCCTCACTGAAAATGCCAATCTGCACCAGCTGCCTGACAGTGTCTGGGTGGCAGCCCTCATCTCGGTGCTGCTGGATGAATGACTACCTTGAGAAAAAAGGGTTCCCTGTGGAGGTACCTGCTCTCCAAGGAGAGGGCTTGGATGTGGCTGTCGCTCGGGCTCTGGCCATCCTGGCTCCCAATGACTGTGATGCTCAAGTCACACATGGGGTTGCAGGACTCTTCTGTGGGTCATGGTTGCACTTCTCTGGGTCATATAGTCAGACCTCACTGCAAGACCTGAGAGGCTGTTGCTGTGTGTAAGCTGTGATCTGTAGTCTGGAGGTGTATGGGTGGTGGGATGGAGAGAAACTCTGTGGTGCTGGTCAGTCTCTGGGTTGGGAAATCCAGCTGGATCCTACTCCATAATCCTTAACTTCAGGACCTGAGCCAGCAAAGGTAGCTCATGGGACCAGGAACCTCAAGGGACAGATGCAGGTTTCCAGTCTCCCATTCTTAGTGCTGAAAGCCCTGCCCCATGCTGCAGATGGTGCTGGTCACATGCAGCTCTTTACAGCACTGTTAAAGCTGCCTCAAGTGTTGTGGGAAGCTCTGTGCCCCCTGTGGGTTACTCCTAAAGTGCCATTAACAGTGTTAACTCTCTCCTGAGCGTGTCTGTAAGCCTCTAAATCAAAGACTCTGAGGTCCTTCCTATTGCCCATGGCCCACCCCTCCATCTGGAGCATCTGATAGCTGATATGAGGCTGATGTTTCCAGCTGAAGAACTGAAATAATTTGTTCTTTTCCATGATTCCCTTGGCAAAGGAAAACAAGCCCATTTGTTTAGAAACTCATAAAAGAGGAGCTTTATAGTAGGAACATTCATAAACTTGTTTGCTTTTGACCTTCTCTACATTGCTGATGGTTTGGAGTTCTTGTCCAAGGAATTGTGCTTGTCTGGGCTGTCAGTGACATTTCTGAAAAACAGCCTCACCCAGAGTAATTTGCATTGCTCAGCATTCCAGTGCTGACCCTTCAGACATGCCATCTTTCTCCACTGCAGTGCTGGGTAGGGTGTGCAGGTGGGACACACTGACAGTCTCCTAGAACAGCAATGTAGACCTGGCTGCCAAAAGAAGCCTGACCACTAATTCCAGTTTGCTGGTGTTATTATTTCTAGATTAATTGATGCTACTTAAGCAGTGGGCATTTACCAGGCTCTTCGGTTACTAAGCATGGAGATTGTGTCACTGGGGGAGGGGGGTGTGTGTGAATCATGCCCTCAAATTAATAAAAATGTGTTCTGGGAAGACAAACAATTAAATATTCAGTGATTATGTATCATGGGGGGGCTGGTATGGTTGGAAGAGAACTTGTGCCTTTTCAGAGACAGTGGGACAGCCAGCAGAAAGTAAAAGCCACATTTATTTGTACCTAGAGGCAGAAAATTGGTATTATCTTGACTGTACTGTGGGACTTCAAGTGTCAGGTCTAGATTCACAATTTAATGCTGGCATTTGGTACTTTAGCAGATAAAAATAAAATCTCTTTTTCCACCTTTGCTTCTGCTGCCTGGGGAAGGACTCACCAAACCACAGACCCTGATCTATGGCTGACGCTTTGGCTTCCCTTCTTGAATTATACTGTCATAGGCTTCTTCAAAATCTGCCTGAGAACCCTGTCCACTTTTCAAGTCCTTCCCCATCTGGAAAAATCTTCTTTTACTTCAGTCTAGAGGGAGTCGTCCTCATCTTGTTTTCTGCATCTGTAAAACCTTTGCATGGCTTTCCTGCCCAGAACAAGGACATTGGAAGTTGCTAGATGTTGAGTCCTATGAAGACAAAGTGGCTTGTGAGACTATTTAGGACGTGTGCTTGCACATTGCCTAGATCATTTCTATACATGGATTCAGATAAAATTCACCAACTCATTCGTATGTGATGAGGAAGTACATGTACTGGTTTGATACAAAACTTTCCACACTCTTTGGAAAAAGCTTTTGTAGGGTAACACTGTCTGATTTCAGATAATTCCTACATTTAAATTGTGAGCATGACACAGTGTTAAAATAATATGTCTCAACTGTCTCTTAAGTGCTAGTAAACAAGACACAGCTGGCAGGAGATGTACAAGTAGTTCAGTCCTATTTTCCCCTGTATTCCCACTGTACTAGTTGGCATAAAATATTCCCTTCCTTAGTGTTTCTGAATACAGAAAAGGGAAAAGAAATATGACGCTGAAGGTCTCTGTGGTGGATTCAAGGTGGAAGTCCAGCATGTGGTGGAAGCAGGTGGAGGCTGCTTGCCTCAGCACTGGGGAAGAAAGGGATGTCATGTTTTATTAGCCTTTGCAGGCTGTATTAATGGAAGGAGCTAATTGCAATTATTGAGAGATAATGTTAAGTTAACACATTCTCTCGAGTAATTACCACTGTTCCCTCTGGAGTCATGGTGACGCGTGCATTACTGTGCAGTTGGTGATGTGGCAGGTCTGTGTCACTGCTGTACCAGTGCCATAGGTCTGGGGTCCATTCCAGGGGGAATCATGCCTCCCTCCACCCTCACCTTTCCTGTTTGTCCAGTCTGGCACTGCTCTCAGTGCTATGGGAGAAGGATGTGTGTGGAGGCACAGCATCTGAAGCAGCTGGACTGTTCTGGGCTGCCAGCACCAAGCTGTCCTGTGCTGTGCATTTTCCTGTGCTTCCCTGGCTTTACCCCAGGGTACACCCTTAATCATACTGTCCATGTTCCCATCACTTCCCTATTAATTACTGGTTTGAGTTTTAAATGTTATTATTAAGCTTGAAATGTTGGAAAGCTCTGCAATAAGGAGTAGGAAGTATTTCTGACAGCATTCCCTGCCTTCTGCATCAATCTGTGTTAGACTCTGATTTAACACCTGGTTGTGTCATTCCTGGTAGCAGTGAGAAGAGATATTAAGACCTGTGGGGTTAGCCATGCTGGCTCTGAGCCTTCTTCATCCAGATCAGCTGGAGCCTTGCCAAGGGTCTTGGAAAGAGCAGCAGGGAAGTGCTTCTCACTGCATGAGTCCCTGCAGGAGGGGCACAGTCCCTCAAAAGCAGCAGGCAGCTTCTGCACACTGGTTACTTAAAAGAGGACAAAGGCTCTGACTGCAGATGGTAATTGTGTGCTGAGGCTGCCTTTCTCTGGGACCTTTTCTCTCTGATTTCTCCACCTATCATTCTACCACCAAGGGATGTTCTTGCCTGATTAATCCCTTTTGTGTTCTTTGCCTTTTTTTTTCTTTTTCTTTTTCTTTTTTTTTTTTTTTTTTCCCCCAGGCTCATGTGTTTGATATGAGTATTAATAAGTATGAAGCTCTCTGCACCCAGCAAGTGGCGGTCAAGAAAAAAAATAAGTTAACTCATATTCAGTTTAACCCTGTCTACCCTGTTCTCATCGCTGGAGATGAACAAGGCCACATTATCTCCTTGAAGCTCTCTCCCAACCTTCGCAAGATGCCCAAGGTAAGGATGATCTGTGTTTCCCTGATGGAGGTACCAAGCCACAGCAGATCTCTTCGTGCCTTATCACTCAGCCTTCTCCTTCTGTGCAATGATGCACAGAGAGCAAAGCTGTTCTCTGTAGCAAGGTGCTTAAGATTACCCTCAAGCCTTTTGAGTAGGGTATCTGAGATGCTGGATCCCTCTCTCGGTTCCTGTGTGAATCAAAAGGCTCTGTTTGCTCCTGGGCAGGAGTGGGGACTGGTGGGAAGAGGGTTTGCTGTCTGTGAGCACTTTCTCATCACAGTCCAGACAAGCCCAGACATTCTGCAGAAGTTCATTTGTTTCCCAAAGCACATGTCTCTTCTGAGCTTTGGATTTTATTTACAAAACTACTTGAAAACAAGTGAAGGAGCTCCAAACTCCTTCCCAAGTCCTCCCACATGCTGCCTGTCTTCTTGCACTCCTGGATCATCTCCTGTGAGGAGATGGGGGATCCTTCTCTAACGTGACATCAAGGAGATGTATGTGCCTCTGTGGGCTGGTGAAGCCCCTTTTCCCACCCAGCCATGAGGGCCAGTCATGAAGGATGATGACCTCTCCCACATGGATCCTTCACTAGGTTTTGTTCCTGGGCTTCATCCAGCTGTGAGCCAAATGGCTGTAAATGCAGTGTCCTTTCTGAGCCCAGTTAATTCTCATATTCAGTTGTTTCCTGTTAAGTGGAGCTTTTTCAGGTTTAGGCTTTTTAGAACTGATCCAAGAAAGCAATCTCTCAATACAATAATATTTTATTTATATACCCTCAGAGGTTTTATGTACTCTCCTAACGTCTTTGGCCAGGAACTAGTCACCCTGGTGTCACTCCAGAGTCTTCTTGGTGATTTTTAAAGAGTTCCTTCAGCCAGACACCACTGGAAATGTGACTCGTCCCTGTGCTGAGAGTGAATAGAAAACACAGTCACATGGCAGTCTGTTTGGAGCTGGGTGCAGCAGCTGTGGAGGAGGATGTCTCATATGCTTCATGCTTTTCTATTCCCATCAAAACCACAACCCAAGACCATCCAGGCTCTCAGGGCTGTCATTAGCTTGGCTTAGGACAAGTTTCCTGACTGCTTTATGAGTCCTTCCTGGGCATGGGCAAGCACCATGTTTGCCACGGACCCGGGTTACACAGGGTTTCAGCAGTGGAGGTGGGTCACACACACATGAATGTGGCTGCTCTCCTTGGTACCCCAGCTGTGGGGTGAGCAGCAGCCAGCAATACTGTGCTATGGGTCAGAATGAATTAGCATGTCTCCTTCCTGGTGGCCAGCAGCAGCCCTCTGTGAATGTTGTAATCTCGTGTGAATGGTATGAATGTTGTCATCTCCCTTTGCTGTTGTTTTTTTTTTCAGAAGTAAATTGCATGTTGTTGTCAAAGCAGTTTAAACTGTGACTTCAGGAGTGGCTCAATCACTTATTGCTGACCTTAAACCAATAGGTTATATCCCAGGCAACATATAAATGGGATGGAAACGGACTCTGCTGCTCTGATGATATTAAGCTGTCTTCTGCTTGCTTGGTTAGGTTTGACACTAAACGCTGAACTAAATGTTTCCTGCACATGCAGAGAAGCAGGAGGGATGTTCAGACATGACTGGTGATGTGTGCAGGTCCCCTGGCTACAGCCAGCTCTTCTTTGAAAGAGATGAGAATTTAAAACAGATGACACACAGTGTGGTGGCCAAGACGTGGATCTAGCCCAGACAGCTCAGCTGCCTTTCTGTGCCACAAGTGGACAAGTGAGCTGAGTCGCCCAGCCAATCTTTCATGGCTGATGTGGCATCTGCTGTGCAAAATGCAGAGTCCAGGACCCTGTGGTGTGGAGGGTTAGCTGCTGCAAGAAGGTGTTTTAACAGAGGGAAGTCAAGGCAGAAAAGGCAGAGACATCCACTGTGTCCTCCTGTCCATTCCTTGCTGTGCCCGCACCAGTCTTTGTATCCTCAACTAGTAGCAAGCCTCCAGCTATGTTTGCAAGAGTGTCATCTCACCGTGGGGGGTCATACTTGCCTCCAGAGCATTGATCCTGGCTCCTCTTTACACCTTTACCCTGTGCAGGCATCTTTCCTCTGTAAACTGATTCTGGGAGGCTCCAGAGCCAGGTTAACAGTTGCAGAATATCTATTGGTTTTGTAAGTGGAGAGGGTCCAAAGCAGTGCAGAGAACTCCTGGCATCCCAGCTGTCTCCTTACAGATGGAGAAAATGTCCTGGCTCATTACATGGATACCCCGGTCCGGTGTCTCTGGCACATGATCCCCTCAGAGCCCAGTGGGGAAATCTGCCCAACATCCAGGAGGAGAAGCTAAGGCCAGTGCTTTTGGAAGTTGTGGCCTTCTCACCAACCACAGCATGTGCAAGCTTAGCTTCCTGATCTTGTTTTCATTGGTCCATTTGGAGATGGGAAGGTTTTTGCTGAAGTCTGGCAGAACATGGTGTGCCAATGGGAAGGGGCAACCTGAGGCTCATCCAGGCCCCAGAACCCCTCTGTTTTACACTGGTGTCACAGAGATTTGCCTGTGAAGCTTCTCCATCAGCTTCCCACACAGCTGGGACAGCTGCTTTTGACAGGTATGACTAGCAGACTAATCACTCTTTTTTTTTTGAGAGAGAGCTCTTAATAGCCAGATGTCATTCCAAACCTCCTTTTTTTCCCTTAAAAATAGACAGTGCTGTCTGCTCCATGTTATGCAGACTCCTTGGCTGTCACTGGGCTTCCAAGATAGAGCTCACCATGAGAGACTCAGCTAACTTCAGCCTGATGGGATTTCACCCCCTCTGAATTTCTTCTGCTCTGCCTGTTAAAGCTGGTGTGATGGATAAGTGGAAAAAGGGAGGGTAAGGACTCCTGGGTTCCCACAAGACCTTGGTTCATTCCTCTCTTCGAGTCCTTGAGTGAGGATGGGAGGTTCCAGAGCTTTTAAAATAATTTTCAGGGTCGATCTGCAGCTTAATTAATTCATGTTTGTAAATCACTTTGGGATCTTTAAGAAATGTTGTTTAATAGTCTGAGTTTTGCTGTCATCAGTGTTAGCACAGCCTCATTAATGAACACTTGACAGATCAAAGAAGCCAAGGAGAGATCTTCTCAAAAGCACTTAGGTGGCTTTTTCAGAAGTGACTTTCACCAAGATACACAGTAAAATCTCCAAAAAGTGCCTGAAACTCCCTGTGAATTTTGGTCTCCTGAATCACTTAGTGGCATGTTGGAAAAGGTACATCTGTTGTTGAGAGGATGCTGGGGACAGGGGCTCTGTCACCTGTCAAACACTTGTGTTGAGGGCACATCTGTGTGCACAGGGTGTACAGAGGTCCCTGTGCTCATGCCAGACACAGTGGACATCCCTGTATCTTTGTCTTCCCTGGTGCTTTGGATCCTGAAGCCCTCCTTAGCCCCACAGGCTGAAATCTCTGGGATGGCACAGAGACATTCCCTCTTGTCCTGAGGCAGTGAGCTCTATTGCTTTCCATGGGGTGTGCTCCTGGTAGAAGTTTTCTGTGCCTGTTGCTATTGTCCTTATATCTAGTGAGGCTCCTGAGAGTCCTCTGGAAACTGATGGACTACCCACCTGCTAAGAATCAGCTCCAAGACCCTGGGGAGTGTGGAGGCTTGGGGCGGGCAAACCAGCTTGAACCCAAATCTTGAGGGAAGAGCAACACTGAAGCAGAGAGCAGAACTTGCCAGAGGTGAATTTGCAATCAAACTACCACCAGCATGGACCTGCATTGGCCATGCTGAGCGTCCATCTCCCTGAGCACCCAGCCCTGTTTGGTCAGAAGGCTTATGCCAACGGGTACTGACCTGTGCAAGCAGCTGTGGTGAAACTAGTTTTGGTCCTTCAGCCCAGAGCTAAGAGGTGGGGAGAAGTGCTTGCAGTATTTTAAGATGCAGCAGTAGGAAAAAGTGGCTCCCTGCTGTCATCCAAGCCACTTCCCGACTCCAAGCACTTGCTTAAATATTGCAGTGGTTGTCAGGCAGGAATTGTTTAACTAATAAAGTATCGTTCCTAATTTGTAACGATCTTGGTGGTTGAGTTCACCCAAGGGAAGCATTGCTGTAAGAAGAAAAAGTTTGGGGCAGAGCTGTTTAATTAGTAAGCCTTTCAGGTTTTATTCGAGGGTTGGAAGAAATTAAAGCATTTTGTCATCACAGTCAGAAGAATGTTGCTGCTCTTGGGCTTTGGTTTGCTTTTAAAAAACTGCTGAAATAGCCTGGAACAGCCCCTGTCAATGCCAAAAAGAAGCAGGAAATAGTAAAAAAAAAGTGTGAAGAGTTTTTAGAAATGCTGGGACACCACAGCAGGATGGGACAATAAAAGAAAGCAGGTCAAAGAAAGGTTACAATACAGCAATTGCTGAAGCTAAGGCACATTTCTTGGCCAGCACCCAGACAGGGCTGCAGCCTAGTGCTTGTCTTGGATATTCATATCAGGCTGTTTCTGTTGCTGCTACTGTTTTCTTCACATGCAAGTCACCTCTTTCTCCGTCCCTGGGGGACAATCATGTTACTTCCCAGGCAATAAGTCCTGGCTGACAGGATCTAGCCAGGCATGGGTGGAGTGGGAAGGGGAAGAGGGCTGCTTCCCATCCCAGGATGTGGCATCATGGCTGCACGTGGGTCAGGAGCTGCAGACACAAACCTGTGAGTCCAGTGCTGGGTGCCTGTGAGCAGCTTGTGGTGTGCAGACAAGTGAGGGGGCATGGGGTGGCTTTGAGCCTTCCTATCCATGTGCACAAGCTGAGCATCTCCTCTGCTTTCTCTGTGTCGTGTCACACCAGCCAGTGTCACTTCTGGCCTCCCTGTGCCCCCCTGCCTCTTTGCAGCCTGGTGATTTTGCCCTTGTACAGATGGAGGCTACTCAGACAAGGGGGAGACAGTGGAGTTTACTGCCTGAGGTACTTTGGGTCTTTGACCACAGCTGGTGGTAGGGTGTGGGAGAGATCAGCTGGGACTATGGGGACTGTGATGAACAATGGGAGGATG